CCTCCAGGCTCTCCTGGGCATCTGAGGAGAGCCCCCCGTGGCGGAGCTGGCCGTGCAGGAAGTGGATGATGGCATAGGCCAGGCGTTTCCTGTTGTCCATGCTGAACGGTGGGGAGGGGGTCAAGATCTGTGGGCCAGAGCCAAGGACTGAGTGTTGTGGAGTCCACTCTGGCCCAGCGGGTTCTGTCAGGTCTCCAGGAGCTGGACAGACGTAGCACACGTGACGCACACACAGGCGCCTTGCTACTTGGTACCCAGGGCCGCCTGCTGCCCACTGGCCTGGCGCTCCTGCCCCTCTCCAGCCTGGGTCTCCCTCCCAGGAGGGCACTGAGCTCCTCAATGGGGACCCCGCCCCTTTCTCAGGCAGCAGCTATCTAACTCATTGAGACCCCAAGCACTGCCCTGCCCCGCACCATCCCCAGGAACAACCAGGGCTCCGTGCGGGGAGCCAGGGGCTGATCTTGCCCCTTTCCGTTGTTCTCACGCCACGTAAGGAGCCAGCTTTCCCTTTGTCTTGGCTGCTTCATGACAGGGGTCCTTAACATTGAAGGAAGAGGAAGGCAGACGCACATGCCTCTCCAGGAACAAAGTCTTCACACCCTGCCTCGCTTACAGGGCAAGTGACTTCCTACTACAGACACCTATTTCCCCACACCTTCCTTAGCACCGCTGTCTGCTGGTCACTATTCTCCTACAGTGATTCTCACCATGTTGACGCCGCTTGTTTCTGGCTTGCCAGACACGCCCTCTGAGCTGCTCTCCCCAAGAAGTGGGGATGGCTCAGATTCACACATTGCCCGCTCTCTTGTATACGTGCTAGAAGGTTTGCATACTGAGCTATTATAGATACTGTTTAATACAATGGCCCTCGCTCTCTTGATCCTGATATTGGGATGGCCCCTGTCACTCCATTGTCTTTTTCTTCCAGTCTCACGTGTTGCTCCACAGGGCCCGCTCGGTGGAGGGCTGGATCCCACAAACTGAGGTTTCAAGAGCTAGATTCTTCTTAGAGATGAGCGGAGATAAAGCCCAGGTGTGGGAAGATGGACAGAAGAGTAAGGCAAGACAGCCAATCAGAGCCCTACTACCACCCCACCCCTGCCTGGAGGGAGGAGCCTGGAAGGAGGCGCTTCATGGTGGGGTTGGGCTGAGGGTTCCAGGGGGCGAGAAGCTTGGCCAGGAGGTCTTTGGTTTCTAGTTGATCCCTGGGGCCAAGCATTGCATTTGAGTCCAGAATAGGGACCCAGAGGGCTGGTGATGGGCCTTGGAGCCCACGAGTTGCTATGGGTTAGATGCTGGGCTGCCAGCTACAGGGTCTGTGTTTCAAACCCACCAGCCGCTCCAGGGACAAAATATGAGGCTGTTGGCTCCCATAAAGGTGCAGCTGTCCCTATGATTTGGAATCAGCTCGATTGGGGGTGAGGGGTGTTAGTGGAGCTTTGCAATCCACTACACCCAAAGGAAAAAGCAAGGCCTAGCACATGCTGAGAGGAGAGAGAACAAGGTCAGGGGCTGGAGGCCCCCCTGGTTGACACAGTCTCGCCCTAAACAAAACAAAAACCTCACTGTAGCGGAGTCGATTCTAACTCACACTGACCCTATACATAGGGCGGACGGAACTGCCCTCTTCAGGACTCCAGATTTCGATGGGAGCAGAAAGCTTCGTCTTTCTCTCGCGGTGCAGTTGGTGGCTTTGAACTGCTGACCTTGTGGTTAGCAGCCCAACCCATAACCACTATGCCCCTAGGGACCCAACTCAATCTTCTCCCCCCAATAATGCTTCTGTGGTCTCCCTCCCTCAGCAGTGGTGAGACCTGGAGTTGTGCCCCTTGTGGGGGGGGAGGGGTGAGCGCATTCTGGGCACTGCAGGGTGATGAGCAGCACTCCCAGCCTCCACCTCCTCGATGCCAGAAGCAACCCGAAGCAAGTGTCCCCAGCCCCCCACCCACCCACCTATACACACAGAGCAGGGGCCTGGGAGCCACGCCGGGGCAGAGCAAGCTCTGTAGGGTAGACGTTTCCAACGAGGTTCTGGAAGCAGGCTGCCAGGCCTTTGTTCTG